CCCTTTTAAGCCCTGGAATCCCCCTCTTTTGCTGACCCTGCAAGTGGAACAGCATCTGACAAGTACGTTTTCATTTTTAAGCAGTCTCCCCATCGGAGGCCTTTCCTTCGTGCATCACGCAGGAGCCAGCTCGCGCCAAGCCCCACGGCTGTTGTCATGGTGCATCAAGCAATCTGTGCCTGGATGGAATATTTTTAGCCCAGCCATCAGCCTGTTTTTCCTCCTGAACCAAATGATCACCGTCCTTCATTTTTAGCACTGCAACATTTTGCTGGTTAATCCATTAAATCAGACCTTAAAAAAAAATAAACCAAACCATTTCACAGACTAAAAACCACTGAAGAATTGAGCGAGCTTGTATGATTCTCAGCAATCGTGTCATTTTTATTTCTCTTACTGTGCCAACAAAATTTTTCAATTTTCCAAAACAAGGGATATTCAGCTTCAATGAACAGAAACGGCTCAAGTACTGCAGTTCAGAAAAAACCAAAGACAAGAGATACCCATTTGCAGCTAATTTGTCATTTAAATAATGAACGCATATTAGCCATATCTTCTACTGCAATCCTGTGCCCGCTTCAGCAGCTTTCAACTGGTTGAGACCAACTCCAAAGTTCACCTTTTCATTTGAGTTGTGTCTGTTCATTCATTCTGCCTGTAACTTTAGTGTTTTCAGTCCAGATTGCATGATATTTGCAAATCAGGCCTGCGTGATTTCAGACAATAAGACAAATAGCCTTCCCAAACAAGGCATTTCTTGTGCGTTCTTGATTCTTCACTCACTGTACTTTACAAGTGCTTTATATAACACCGTTGTTTTCCAGAGCCACTCTTGTTCCTTGCAATCATGTTAATGTTTTAATTTTTCCAACAAGGCAACTCTGGTATATCTGCAAATGATGGTTTGAAACCCTCCTATATTTGCACAGTTCTGCTATACTTCAGCAGCCCCTCGTGGTTGTGTCCTGGAAAAAAAAGAAGGGCAGAGAAAGGAAGCCACCAGAAAAAAAATGTGTAAAGGAGCTGATCTTAATCCTGCAAAGACTCCAGAAACAGGAGCCCAGGAAAAGGGGCAAGTTAAAATCTCCATGCAGAAAAGCTGAAAGGGCTCCATTTCACAGAGAAGTTTTTTAAAAATGTACAGGTGATTCCCTATTGCTAAATAAAGCTCAGTGGAGCTTTCCTTTTAGTCCATTTTCTAAAATGGTAGAGTTGGAAGCAACCTCGCAAGCCATCTAGTTCAGCCCTCTGCCTGATGTTGGATGCGCCAAAGCATTCCTGGCGAATAGCCGTTCGGTGTCTTCCAAAAGTCCGTGGCTGTTGATTGGCTCTTATCGTTTGGACATTCCTGAAAAGACTTGGCCAAAACCAGCTTGCAGTTGCCCCAGTCCTGCTTTCTGGAGCCACAAAGATAGAAACAGAGAAACAGAAGGGGTCTCCCGGGCCATCTAGTCTGACCCCCGGCTCCAGCCAGCTCTGCTCATGACATGCCTGCAATGTGTGTGTCTAGCAATAATGTTGCTGTTGTAACTATTATTATTTAATGGGACAATCCATCCATGCCTACCATGTGCATGTCCAGCCTGTCCTTGGACACCCTCAGCGATGGGGCCTCAACCACCTCCCGTGGAAGCCCATTCCATACCTGGGGGTCCTAACTGTCAGGAAGTCCTTCCTGGCATCTAAATTAAAGATAAATCTGCCACAACTTCTGCGGAACAGCCCTCCAGATATTTTGCCTCTGCTTTGTCTTTTCAAGGTTAAACCTACCCAGTTCTTTCAACTTCTCCTGATCGGGCTTGGCTTCCAGGCTTTTTACCATTACACAATGGCAGGCACTCTCTTCCTTCTGTGACCTTTCTGCAGCCTATACATAGATCCCTAGCTTGTTTTTCCAGTGGGAAGCTGTACGAAATGAACAAACGGGGACATTTGCATGTCCCATGCACAGAATCACAGAATGATAGAGCTGGAAGGCCACCAGGTTCAGTGCCCTGCTCAGGGCGAGACTCCCAGTTGAGCCACCCCTGTCAGATCATTGTCCAGTTGCGTCTTGAATGCCTCCAGGCTGGGAGAGCCCACCACCTCCCTAGGTCTTGGGCTCCACAGTTGTACTGCTCTAGCGGTCAGGAAACTTTTCCTGATGTCCAGCTGGAAATTGGCTTAGTGCAATTTGTGCCCGGTATTCCGTGTCCTGCACTCTGGGATGATGGAGAAGAAATTCTGTTCTTCTGCCTTTTTGACAGCCTTTCAAGTACTCGCAGAATGCTCTCCAGTCCCCGCTCCAGGCAAAACATGCCCAGCTCTTCCAATCTCTCCTCACTGGGCTTTGATCATCCTCAGTGCCCTTCTCTGAACCCATCCCAGCTTGCCTGCATTCATTTCCAGAGAGGATCAAAGGAAGATCGGTTTGGATGGCTTTTCCATTTGTCTTTGAATTTGTGGGCACTGAAGTTCTGATGTAGCCAGGGTTCTTCTTCCTCATGGACACAATCTTGCTTACAACTCCATTCAGCCATAGAAATAGAGCCAGCACTGCAGGGTTGTATGTTGGAAACCAACCAACCCACTCTGGGAAAGGAGCAAGAGCAGAGCAAGAGGACTGAAAGCAGCAGTTTACCAGCAGAAAGGGAACCGAAGTGCAAACACACCCGGAGGTTCTCCACTTGCATAGCATCAAATTAGTTTCTTTCTTTATTTCTTTCTTTTTTTGGCATCCTTTAAAAATATTGAATGACTCATTTTGGAGCATGTGGGCTAGGACAAAATAGCAGCTGTTATAAACACCCTTCGTTATAGAAGCTTACAAAGGTTGCAAAGGTTTTAGTCATTCCTTCTGCAGAGAATCTCTGATCGTGATTTGTGGAGGGGGGAAATAAGATGGTCTCTCCAAAAGAAAAGAAAACAAAACAAAACTTGAAGAAGGCGTCAGTGAAAAAAGGATGTTTTCCCCTATTTCAAGGACTTATCTTTCTTCTTGATTCGTGAACAAGGGAGGGTAGGCCTATTCCAGCAGGAAAAAGCAGATAGCTGGTTGCCTCCTCATCGTCCTTTTGAGGAACGAAAACACCTGTAATCTTGGGAAAATGCAGGTGCTTTTGGAATGTGAGGACAGGACAAATTGAAACAACCCTTGTGCTTTTACCCAGCCCGAATTGCCTTCATTGAAGTTTGCACAGGAAAACTGCCCCAGCGGTTCGTTCCCCTGTAAAATATCCCATCCTTTGGGAAGAGTGAGATGCGACACACCAGCCAGAGATATTCTCCAGGCCGCAAATTCGCTTCTCCCAGCTAAAGATGTTCCTCTGTCCAGGCAGGCGAAAGCATTTTGGCACCCCCCTCGCTTCCATATGCCTTGGATAAGTGGGGATCCAAGCCACACTGCATCCCCGCCTGGGAGGAGATGAAGTCTGGAGAGGACCGGCTTGGAATAAGCCGAGATGTTTCCCGGTTTGGGCTGGGGGGTTGCTAGACCTCACCTGAGCTTGTCCAGTTGGATCCATCGGGCTCTCTCCTGGACCAGGGCTGGTCAGGGAGGCTTCTTCTGGGTGAGAGACCGACTCGCCGTGCCCCCCACCCACAAATGGACCCCTGTTCTCATTCAGCACTGAACACCTGAGATGGGAGAGGAAGAGAGCGCAGGGTTCCCATGACCTGACGCTGAGCGTGGAGCAGCTGTGTCCCGTTGGACCTGTTCCCGATGTGCCAGTTTGCAGCTCCCAGAGAACTGCGGCTGCAGAGAAGGCCATTCTTGGGAATGCCCACAGTCCAGAGCCCAGGCTTCTTTGAATTGTGCCCCAAATGTGTGAGCATGTGCACCAGGCTTCACGTATTCTAATTTCTTTTCAAAACCTTCTGTTTTCCTTGACGATTCGGCTTTCATTTTAAGTCCTTTATTTTATTTTTTTTTTCAGCTTCTCATTCTGGATTTCCAACCTAGTGATCTGCTTTCTCTTGTTTCTGTGCTGGGTATCTGTGGGAGTCCTGTATGGCCTTGTCGTTTAATTTTTATTTGCAGCCTCGTTCAGTAGATGCTGCCTTTGTTTTTGCTGCGTTGCTTTTCTAAAACATTCTCTTCTATCTGCCAAGAGTGTGGGTAGCACACTTCAGAAAAGGATTCGACACATCTCACAAAAGGAATGAATAAATAAAAATAAAGGAATGAATATAAAATGAATGAATGGATACTAATAAAGGAAGGGAATAGACAGGCAGACAGACAGACAGACAGAATTATCAGATCTCTCAGATCAGATGCCTGGAATTTGAGATACTTGTTCAGTGTGGTCTCCATGGATTCTTTAATTTCAAAGATGTTCCTTTGGGAGTGAGATATGTGTGCTTCTTTGGACAGTGGTGGATGTCCAGCATTTGGGGTGTCCATTAGCCAAAGCACAGCTGTCAACATTTATGACAGCCACCCTTTCCCTCTCACAAAGGAACGGCTTTGCTTTGATTCAGGGATTCCACCCTGTTTTGGCCTGGTGGGCACCCTTAGAATTGTGTGTTGTGGGCGTTCTCACAACATGGCTGCCGAGGAGGGCTTGGCCATCAGGGTGGGCAGACAACACTCATTTTCTGGAAGGCAAACTGGTGCGATGAAAAGAACGCGATTTCTCTAAGAAATGGAGACAGGTTTGTTTGTTTATGCATTATATATGCCACCCCCAACTCCACTGGAGTCCCTGGGTGGCTCCAAAATATGAAGTCACTCTTTGGATTCCCAACAAAGATGAGGATTAGAGATTACTAGTGGCCTGCTAGTCTCCCAATTTATGTATTTTTTAAATTAAGAAATAAAAATTTGGAGGACAGGGAACCTGCCAGGGTCCAAGGGAGGTGTCTGGGGACAGATTGGTTCAGCCAATGTGGAAGGCCTATGGGTAGCTTCTTTTACAGCACATCTGGAAAGACGTCTGGGAGTTGCTGTTTGGGTGTGGGTGTGTGTCTCTGGAAAGCAGCTTTGGAGCTTGATGGTGCCATCTTTCCTTCCTCTCCAGGGTCAACCAACTTATGGTGCCTCCAGCCATTGTGAAAGTCTAAGGCGGTGAGTAACTCAGACAGTGAGGGGAACCCGTTTCGTGTGTGCAGATTAGAAGATTGTGAAACCAAAAGCGAAATTACCCTTTTCCACACAGAGCCCCTTCTCAGAAAAGAACAAACAAGCCAGGAAGTTAACAGCTTTGGAAGAAACCAGGATAGTAAGCCATGTTTTGAAGCTGGTTTAATATCCTGGCTTCTTCCAAAGCCGGGCACTGTGGTTTGGATGAACTGGGAATCTGTTGTTAACGGAAGAGCTTCTGGTGTGATGCTGGCACTGCTGGAAAGGGTAACTTCTTTAGCCAGGACATAATCATTCAAACACAACCAGAGTGTGAATCAATACCCTGATTGGATACCCAAATTACCAAGCTTGGAGATGTGGTTGGACCGAGCCAAGCATGTGAGACGAACTAGGTTGGACTCCCAGACTCTTCCTTTGTGTCTTTAAGTCAAACATTTGTCATCAAGTGCCATCTGTTTCATGCCTATTTTGCGGGCGTGTGACTCCAGAATGGCTTTAAAAATGGGAATTACCTGTACATTTCAACCTTGCCATTATGACTAGAGGTATGAAGATCTAGTTGGAATCGAAGATCTAGTTGGAATGACTAGACTTCTTTCCCACACTTGCCCCTGGCCGGGAAATGAGCCGAGCTGAAATCAAGTCCACAAATGCTCAGAAACTCGAGCGGTTTCTTTGCACAAATTATGGAAAAAAACATAAGTCACATGTACAAAGCAAAACTCCCCTGGAACTTGCCTCCAGCCAGACATCCCCACAAATGCAAGGTTAAGTTAGGGCAGAAAGAAAGTGGTCCGGAGTGCCGGGAGCCAAGCCAGCAGGATTTAACAGTTTCCCACCTTCAGACTAGATTCCTCACACATCTGTAACTGTGACCCCCCCTGGGTTTAGAGACAGTCCTCTCGGAACTGTTCCCCAACTTTGAAAGATGCTGGGAGGGGGGAGGGGGGTTCTCTCCACTGCAACTCTGGAGATCGGGTTATCTTTCAGAGTGGCACTGACGGGACTCACACCTGGCCCTCCCCAGGCACCTGGAAGGAGCTCTTCTTCCCATTCATGGTGTATAAAGCTCTCGTTTCTACAACCCGAAGTGGAAAACTCCTCAAACAATAGTTTTCTGTATGTGGCTAATTCCTTTTGTAACTGGATGCAGTCCAACCACCAGCCTTGAAGAATTTGCGTGCATTTTTCAGAAGATTTAATGCCAATGAAATCAATAAGCATGTGGCTAAAAGTTTTCACACCCACTTGTTGGAACGTTGCCTCTAGGGCTTCTGGGGGGTGCAGGACATGGCAGTGCTGTGGGGGCGGGGGCTCACATCGTTGCAGAATGGAGACTTCTCTCTACCTGGGGAGTCCAAACCGGGAGGTCCAAAAGGTGGAGTTGCATTTTTCATACTGCAGAAAAAAGAAGACGGGATTCTAATTCTGCCAGCAGTGACTGTACCTTAGAACCTTCCTCTTCATTTTTTATTATTGTGAAAATAGTTACCTGGAAGCGTTTTAAGTTAATCCACAGGATACCGCCTTTTGGGTGCAGCCACTACAAAGTTGAACATTAAGCAGCCCATGAAAAAATAACGAGGAATGCTTTAATATAGCTTCTGTATAGCTTGAGGTGCCCGATCCTGCCTTATCTTGGAAGCTAAGCAGGGTTGGGCCTGGTTGAAATCTGGATGGGGGACTTACAATGTTTGGCTGTGGGCAATCTAGAAATGTAATGACACAATAGTAGTAGTAGTAGTAATAATAATAAAATAATAATAATAATAATAATAATAGAAACAGAGCAAGTCAGAAGGGGTCACCCGGGCCATCTCGTCTGACCCCCAGCTCCAGCCAGCTCTGCTCATGGCATGTACAGCAATATTGTTGTTGGTGTTGTTGTTGTTGTTACTATTATTATTTAATGGGGCCATCCATCAGCTATAGGTTTAGTTAGTGGGGGTGCGCAGTGATGCAGCCAGGGGCCTTGGCAGTCCCGTGTGTGCCACGCCTCTCAGCTGCGAGGCACTTTCCCCGGCTTCCAAGACCACCTCTTCCCTGCGGTGAACCTGCAACAGGGGAACCACCATCTTGGTGGAAGCTACTGGGCGACACAGAGCTTCCTCCTCTGTCTTTGCACAATCCCTAGATCTCAACAGGCAGGGAGAGGGAATATATCCATGTCTGGGAAGAGTGTGTGAACGTGTGCACACTTACGTGCAAACACGCTCTCAGCTGGCCCTAGATGCGGCTCTCCAGGCCAAAAGATTGTGCCCCTCTGCTTCAGCTGACGGACTGCTAATGGCTAGTTTTAATTTGCAAGAGAGAAGCTGTGCCTCCATGGGTATTGCGTTTCTTCCGCGGGATGTGTTGGTTTTTAGTTACTTCTGCACCCTCTGTGGGACTGTTAAAGAAGGCTCGGCCCTTTGACTAGGGACTGGCATGTTGTGCTCACGAAATGGCAAGAAATCCAACATGTATGCCAATGTACATCTCCGAAAGGCCGCTCTACAGAGGTCGCGGAGAAACGTGCGTTTAATAAAAAGTGATCAACTACTGAGAGCATTAAGAAGAGGCTTCTGCCTTTGTCGTCGTAACTTGGATCCGTTCATCTGCTAGCAGACAAGCTATGATTCCATTAAAATCTTTTCAAATTGGTTCAACAGCCTTTTGCTTTCGAGTAAGAAAGGGCAAGATGCCGCTGGAACTGTGCTTTAAATGCACAATGCAGTCACTCCTACAGGCCCAAGGGACGCTTTCTGCAGAAAACTGAGTGCTTCTGAGGCCCAGTCCTGTCAGCCATTGGATTCTGGCCATGTTCACTTTACTGGTCCGAGCTGGTACAAAGGATGGGGCAGACGCAGCCGAATGCCCCTCTGTTCAGGCCTGTGTGCCTTGTCGACCACCCTGACAACCCACTTTTGTTTCCCCCCTCGCAGCTGACGTTGGAAACGATGAAGGACCCCGTGTTGTGGCGGAAGGCCTTGCCAGGAAAGAACCAGTGGTTCGCAGGAAGTCAGCATCCCTCCCTCCGAGGCCAAGAGTTCGAGATGAAGTCTGCGTTTGGTGGTCTGCAGAAGCAAGCCCTCCCTTCCAGAGGGACCCTTCTGTATATACCACGTCACACTCCGCCAACGTGACCGAACGCCGCTGCTTTTGTCGGCAACCCCAGAGACGCCATCCCAGACGGAGCTGCGAAGATTTGCCTCCTCTTTGCAGAACCCTGCTTCAGTTTTATTATCGTTGTTGTTATCATTAATATTATTACTTACTTAATCGCACCATAGGATATTTCTTTCTGCAGAAAGCCGAGAAGGTTGGACTTGAGGGATGAGAGTTTGCTTTCGATATTTAAGGGTGTCGTTTGCACTAGCAGTGTCCTGGTGGAACTACCTCGAACCCACCAGAGGGTTTGTGCTTGGACCAGCGTGGACGCAAATTCAGTGCTTAAATTTCCCCTGGGGAGGCCAGGAATTTTAAGCATTTTCAGGGGTGGGGAGAAGTGACACTAAAAAGCCGACCAAGACAACTTGAGTGGATTAACTGCTTGCAGTCCTCCGGAGCAGAAAAATCAGTGGCTAGACACTGCTGTTTTTCAAGGACGTCGCTTGTCTCAGTGCAAAAGAAGATGGGTGCTGTTTGCTTTCTTGTTCATCTCGGGGAAAGCCAAGGGGAACCGCCTCGAATTCAGTTCTGTACTTTCATCAGGCGCAGAAGTATTTTGCTGCTAATTCGAGGCGCTTGTTTTAGCAAAAGTGATGTTAATGTACCACCCTGAGCTCTCAAATTGTGTCTCCCCCCCCCCCCCCCCGTTCAGGACAGAGCTGTGGCCCCTATCCGCAAAAAGAGGGTGGCAGAACAGGCTGAATTGCCAGCGAGAAAAAACGGGCTCCCGGTGGCCTGTGGCAACGCAGTCAAGGAGGCAGAAAGGAAGAAGAGGGATGCTGGGCATTCCCACCCAGCCGGCCCCCTCCAGCACATGCGGGTTTTGACCAGCCCTCACCCGCGGCTCGTTCGTTGCAAGCAGCCATTCCCGGAGATGGGGCAGGTCTCCAAAGAGCATCTTCCGCCCTTTCCAGTGGGCGGCGTAAGCAAGTGACGGCTGCTGCCTGTTCTTAGTGGCGGAAGGGGCTGGGAGCAGCACTCACCATGCTCGGGCATCTGCTGAAGCCCCGGAGTCCCGGCAGACCTCGCCCTGAACCCCCCACTGCTTTTTAAAGGCACAGGTTCCAGCTTGGGAGTTAGTCTCATTTTGGGCCAGAGAAAACGGCCCGTTGCCCAGGGCTGCTTGAGCGCAGTCCATCTCTGCGGTAGAAGGGAGACATTTCTCTCCTCTTCTGCTCCGAGTTGCATTGGCGCTACAGTTCCAGGGCAACTAAGCACACAAGAGACTCGAGTTAGCAAGAGTTCAGCCGGGTTGCCTGCAGTTAAAAGCGTGCAAAAGAACCTGTGAGCCAGTTTCTAGGCTACACCGAACTCTTTACCCAAGAGAACGGGGGAAAGGCCGCATCCGGCGAGGCTGCAGGTGAGCGCAGGTAGAAAAGATGGTCTGGCACCCTCGGCAACCTCTGCCTTTTCTGTCTAAACTTGCACAGAAACACTTTCTGATTCGCAGGGATGAAGAGACACGAGGATGGACTGAATTGCTAACAGGGTTATGAAGATTCGGTTGTCTGGTTCTGAAGTCCGGCTCCAGCAGAGCATTAGAAAAGCGCACTCTCCGCTTATAGAATTAAAGATTAATTCATATTCAAGCATCCTCTTGAAGCTAATCTTGACACCCCCACCCCGTTCCCAGCTTTTCTAAGCCCCCGATGATGGGATTTGTCATTTGCTTTCTAATTTTTGTAAAAAAAAAAAAGACACTTAAGAATCACGTTATCAACGTGAAAGGGACAGAAGTGTGACGTATGTTTTTTCTTGTTATACAAGGCAGGACTCAAAATAGTTTTCTGATTTTCTTTCAGAAGCAAAACAAAAACTAAAGAGACAACAGATAGCTATTTTATTTTTTAAAGAGCTGTGACATTGATTATGAGTCTCAGAATATAAGATAAAGTCAAATAGATCTATAAATATATAAAATATATATACATAAATTGTTATGTAAATTAAGGAATAAAATGTATTTAAACAGAGTTGTTCTTTGCCAGTACTTTTCATCTTTTCCACCACTGCCTGCCTACTTACCACATCCTGTGATGAGACACTGTAGCTGGAGGATTCAGCAGAAAGTTGAAAGAGATGCTGACTTTGAAGTTAAACTTCTCTGCTTTCCTCCAGCGGTCTTTACAACTGCTCCCACTGGTACAGGCTTTGAGGAGACTCACAGACGGAGGGCTGACTCCGAGATGTGGTAATATGCTACAATGCCACATGAACTTACCTGGGAGCAGGTATCGGTACCTTGGCTCAGTCATCAATTCAAATGAGACTACAGCCACACAATTCGGAGAAGACGGAGACTTGGAAGGGCAACAGTGGAGGAATGAGAAAAGATCAAGTGGAAGGATGTTTTCCTAGAGACCAAGGTCACAATCATCCACACTATTGGATTCCTGATTCCTGCACTCTACATCTTGGTATGGAAGTTGGGCAGTGAAGAAAGCTCACAGGAGGAAAGTGGATGCGTTGGAAACATGCTGCTGGAGGAGAGCTTTGTAGACATTCTGGACTGACAGAAACATAGAAATGGAGCGAGTCAGAAGGGGTCTCCCGGGCCATCTAGTCTGACCTCTGGCACCAGCCAGCTCCGCTCACGACATGCCCACTATGTGCACATCCAGCCTTTCCTTGAACACCCACACCGATGGGGCCTCAACGACCTCTCGTGGAAGCCCATTCCACACCCTCGGGGTCCCAACTGTCAGGAAGTGCTTCCTGGCATCCAAACGAAACCTTGGCTCCCTGAGCTTTGCTCCGTTGCAGCATGTCCTGCCTTCCTCTGCAGGGGAGAACAGGTTTCTACCCATCTCCATGTGACGTCCCCTCACATACCTGTATGTCGCCAACATATCCCCTCCGAGTCTCCTCTTCTCCAGGCTGAAGAGACCCAGTTCCCTCAGTCTCGCCTCATACAGCTTCCCCTGCAAACCGGCCGCCAACCTTGTGGCCCTGCGCTGCACTGACTCCAACCTGGCTATATCCTTCCTGTAATGAGGGGCCCAGAACTGAGCACAATACTCCAGTTGCGGGTGCACCAGAGTCGTGTAGAGTGGTAGTAACACCTCTCTCGATCTAGAAGCCACACTTCTGGCTATGCAACCAAGGGTGGCGTTCGCCCTCTTGGCCACCGCATCACAGTGCTGGCTCATGTTCAGCCTGCAGTCAACCAGCACCCCGGGGTCCCTTTCACAAGTGCTGCTCTCCAGCCACTTGTCCCCTGACCTGTACTTATGACAGCTATTCCTATGCCCCAAGTGCAAGACCTTGCACTTATCCACATTAAACGCCATCCTGTTGTCTCCTGCCCACTTCCATAGTCTGTCCAGATCCTTTTGGATCCAGAGTACCTGCTCCTCAGTTGTGGCCACTGCTCCAGTTTTAGTGTCGTCTGCAAATTTGATCAGCAGACTGTTCACCCCTTCTTCCATGTCATTAATGAAAAGATTAAACAGGATCGGCCCCAGGACAGAGCCCTGGGGGACCCCGCTTGTCACTGGCCACCATCCTGATGATTCCCTGCTAATGGTTACCTTCTGCTTTCGGTCAGTCAACCATGCCCTAATCCACCGTACAGTGCTTTGGTGTATCCCAAAACTCCTCAATTTCTCCACCAGGATATCATGGGGCACTTTGTCAAAGGCCTTGCTGAAATCCAGGTATACCACATCCGCTGCATCCCCTCCATCTAGCCATCTTGAAACCTTGTCATAGAATTCCACAAGGTTTGTCTGGCAGGACCTGTTTTTGCGGAAGCCGTGTTGTGTGGCTGTCAGCCTCCCTTCCCTATCTAGCATCACTAGATCTCTCTCTATGATGAGCCTTTCGATTGTTTTTCCTACAATGGACGTAAGGCTAACCGGTCTATAATTCCCCATGTCCTTTCTACTACCCTTTTTGAAAATTGGGACCACTGACGCCGCCCTCCAGTCCTCTGGAACTTCACCCGTTCTCCATGAGGCCTCAAAAATGGAGGCCAGCGGGCGTGAGAGAGCCCCTGCCAACTCTCTAAGTACTCTCGGGTGTAACCCGTCAGGGCCTGGCGCCTTTGTAATGTCCAATGCCCTGAGGAGCCCCTTGACTTCAAGGGGGGTGACTCTAATCTGTGCTAAGTCCCCAGCCTCATCTAATCTCCTATGCGGATCTCCCCCGTTCTGCTTTGGGGAGAACACAGAGGCAAAATTGTCATTTAGCATCTGTGCTTGTTCCCACATACCAGTCACTGGATCTCCTTCCTCCTTATTTAGTGGTCCCACCACTTGTCTCCCCTTCCTCTTCCTATTTACATGCTGAAAGAAGCCCTTTTTGTTGCTCTTGATATTCTTGGCAAGTCTCAGCTCGTCATCAGCCTTAGCCTTGCGAAGAATCCTTCTGCAACGGGCCTCCTCCTCCCGGTATACCCTTTTGTCTATTTCCCCCAGTACCCATTTCCTACGGAGGTTCCTCTTTCATCTAATCCCTCTAACCACCTCCTTTCGCATCCATGGCGGCCTCTCCTCCGCCTCCCCACCTTACTGACTAGAGGTATCGTCAAGGCTTGCGCTTCCAAAACCTCCCTTTTGAGTGCTATCCACCCCTCCTCAACTCGCTTGCCTTCCCAGGAGTCTTTCCCCAGTCTGGCCTTCAGTGGCCAAAGTTGGCCCTCTTGAAGTCCCAGCTTCTAGTGCTCGACCTGCTGCACGTCCCCAGGCCCCTGATCTCAAAGCAAAGGATGGAGTGATCACTCGCATCCAGAGCTCCCCTAATCTGTACTTCATCTATCAGCTCCTCCCTGTTGGTCAAGTCCAAGTCAAGGATGTTTCCCCCCCTCGTCGCCTCTCGGACCCTCTGTGTGAAAAACCCTCCCTCCGTAGCTTCTAGGAAGCGACGTGACCTGGCCGTCACCGCCGAGTGAGTCTCCCAAGTAATATCCGGGAGACTGAAATCTCCCATAATTACTGTGTCTCTCCCCCGAGAAAGACAAGCAGGTGGGCCCTGCTCAGATCAGGTCAGCTTTTGCCTGCAAGCAAAGGGGAGAAAAATGAAGCTGTCCTGCTGTAGGCAGATCCTGAGAAGGAAAGACTGGCTGGAGGTTGGAGGAAGGAGAAGGGGAGAGAAGGAGACCAACTATGAAATGGAGAGTCCATCAAAGAAGCCACAGACTTGAACTTGGAAGAGCCGACTGGAGCTGTCCTGCACAGGTAATATTGGAGGGCTTGAGATGGATTACTTCTGAGGGCTATTCCAGCTCTAAAATTCCTCCTGAGGGGCTGAACCAGTTACAAAGCATCTGTTTACTAGAACATTGTGGTCCCTTCCCACACAGAGATGCTCTCCAACTCTTCTCCTCCGGCGTCTCTTGCTGCCAACATCAGCACAAAGAAAATCAGTGTTCTCTTGTTTGTGCATGTGCCGCTTCGGTCTATTCCCTTCATGCCTTTAAAAACAGAAAGCGGAATCACAAAGTCCCTGTCAATGGATCATTTTCTACAGGCACCGCAGCTGCTGCCGCGCTCCTGGGTGGGTACCGCTTCGGCCCAGAACTGCGCTGCTGGAACGTTCTCCCCTGGGCTGGCACATGTCTGCTGGCACGCTGGGCCATCTTTTGATGGATTCCCTCCTGAGATGGGCAAAAAATGTGCTTGGCTGCTTGCAGACGACGAGTGGCGAGTGAAGTCATTGCCGTTTCTTGACAGGAAGGCAGGAGAGCGTGTTGGACGCCAGCAAAGCTCCAGATGTCTAGGCGAAGTCTGACATTTATGAAACGAGGCAGTTCCCCAGAGGCCCAGTTCCAATCAGTCTCCTGGCCCTTTCCGACCCTGCAGAAAAGGTCAGCCGAAATGATCAAGTGGCTGGAACCGCTCCGCTATTAGCGAAGGTTACAAAATTTGGAGCTCTTTAGTTGAGGAGAAAAGAGGCAAGTTAGAAGACGACATTACAGGGGTGCAGGGCAGAGGCATGGTGTGGGGAAGATGGCACGGAAGAAGGGTGTATTTCTCTCCAGAACCTGGGGTCATTCCAGGAAGCTGAGCCGAATGGTGGGAGATAAAGCCAAGGCACATAGAGAGAAAGGCTTCTTCACCCAGCTCCTCATCAGGCTAGGACAGTTGCTACTAGGACACAGAGCTGGGATGACCCGGAAGAGTGCCAGTGCGGTGTGGTGGTTAAGCAACCTGGACTGGGACTCCGCAGATCTGGAGTTCCAACTCCTCCATGAAGCCCACCAGGTGACTTTGAGCAGTGAGGTAAGACTCTCAGCCTTGCCTACCTCACAGGACTGTTGTTGTGAGGATGAAATAGACAGGAGAGCACCTTGGGAGCTGGCTTGGCATCCTTGCGAGAGGCAAAAGGGCAGCTTATGCATGCAAGGTGACAGTGATGATAAAGGGATTGGGTAAATGAGGAGAAGGCCAAATCTTACTAGTCACAATGGCTGCATATAACTTAGTAGCAGAGGGAGTTACTGGGCTGCATAAGCTGTGGGCATTGGTGTGCTCTTGTCTGCCTTGTGGACGCCACTGTGTGGCCTTTGTGGGACCGGAATGGTGGGCTAGATAGATTTTGGCCTGATCCACCGAGGCTGTTCTTGCAGTCTGTGATTCTGCAACTCCTGGTTGTTGCTCTGGGCTCTCAAGTCATCTCCAAAACCTCCTGTCCTACACTGCACTCCCCACCTCTTGTAAATTCAAGGTACTGATGCCTTCCTTGCTGAGTCCGTCCATCTCCTGGTTGGTCTTCCTGTTCTTCTGCCTTGGACTTTCCCTAGCAGGATGGTTCTCGCCATCAGGTCTTGCCTTCTCATGATGTGCCCGAAGTACAACAGCACCATTTTTTGTTGTTATTGCTTTGAGTTAGGACCCACTCCAACCTATCCACAAAGCTGTCCTCCAGAACCATGTTTTGAATGCATTCATTTTCTTCCTGTTTTCTTCACTGCCCAGCATTCATGCCAAGACACTGATCGGGAACATCTTGGTCTCCTGGAAACTGTCCTTCC